CTATGTATTATACTACTACTCCTACCACGCCCAACGATATTGTGGTGTCAAACTAGCGCTACTCCTACCACCTTCTGTAGAAGGCCAGCTATGTATTATACTACTACTCCTACCATACCCAATGACATTGTAGTGTCAAACTAGCGCTACTCCTACCACCTTCTGTAGAAGGCCAGCTATGTATTATACTACTACTCCTACCACACCCAACGATATTGTGGTGTCAAACTAGCGCTACTCCCAACGCTTCTATTACACCTGGTACTACTACTACTATTTTGTATAATAATTCACAGTATATATATACATAGGACACGTTTGACAATTCCAATCACTCTGACTTTTGTTTATAAAATTACTGTAGCTTTTTTAAAAACATCCCAAAATACAATTTGCCGGACACCTGTAGAGTGTGTCAATGCTTTGTTGTATCCGACGCTGTGTACATGAAGCATGGCGAGTTCTTCAGAAACAGACTGGTGCAGTTTATACTGCGCCACATAGAGACTCATGGAATAGGGCCATATCTCAGGAGCGTCCAAAATCCCCATGCATGCTGTATTCATTTCCACAAAGAGGACTTCCACATATCTCCTGGAGGAGACGGTAGTCGTGAACGACCGTACAAATTCGGTCGTTTAAGAACAAACAATGTTCGAACCGCAACGCCGTGGTTTTAAAAGTCCCGGTGTGAGGAGCAATCATACCAGGATGCGAACGATGGTTTGTTGTCACCAACTTACACCATACACTATAATACGGTTGAGAGCTTCGCGGTTGTTACCGGAGGTATAGTGGAGCGTCCTATATTAAACCAAGAGACACCAATATCCGGCTCACCCTCACAATCGCCAACATCATCACCCGATGCCCCTACTACTGCTGCTACTACTTATACTACCGCGCACAGTGCTACCACTTCTGCTGTCCAAGAGACATAGTCAACCTACTGGTGGTAGTCGTAGTACTACGCGTTGTAGTAGCCGGGCCTCCAGATTAGACTCTATGTTATAAACGTACTCTTAATAGTACGAGGAACTTAAGTTTCTTAAATGGGGTTTAATGGTTTTATTAATAAATACCTTTTCCATTTTACATATCAGATATTTAGATGAGGCCATTAAAAGGCCTCAGTAAAATACCAAACATAAGAGTTGGTCTAGTTCTATTAATAGAACTATATTTACTTTCCAACTTTATTTATATCTGAATATTTCGGTAGCGAGATGGCTTAACCGAATATAGGTTTCTAGGGACAATTAACGTTACCTAGTTGATGCTCCGATCAGCCAACCAGATATGCCAGTTTGATGAAGGCTAAGTCGATAATTCATGATAAGTTGCAAGTTATTGGTTAAGACAATAACTAAGGACATCAAAGGTATTTTTCTTCTTCTTTTTCTTCTTCTAAAGATAGGATTTTATGAGTCTCTCAGATTCGCCCTAATGAAACATACCATAGTTTCTAATAGAGCGACAACGAAACACTAAATAAAATCCCTTCGGCGGAAACAGTACTGAGAGGATTATATAGGGGCAATGTCTCAGCCTCACAACCTCATAGTATTGCTGTTTTCACGAGGCATACCTAACTTTACTAAAAGTCTCATTTCGTTTATTTTCTTTGATATTTTCACGATACTTAGAATTTACCTACGCGTTTATTTACTCTAAGGCGTTAATATTGCCTTAATAGGCCGAATCTTGCACATTTTAAAGTTAGCAAAGGAATTAATTACTTAGACTACTTAAACGTAAAGGTAGATAACTGCCATAAAATTTTTCGTGTCCAAGCGAGTCCTTAAGAGATCAGCTAACAGTCATAAGTTAAGATTATGACCAAGAAAGACAATACTCCTTCTAAGAAGTGTAGAGCTGAAAAGAAGAGGATGGAGAGAGACGTCGCTACTGCAGCCGCATTTAACGCGACCGCAGAAGAAGACAATCAATTCCGCTCCTGGTATTAAAACCCAGGACAATACAGCAGATAAGGGTGAAGACACTCCATTAAGAGAGAAGTCCCCTGAAGTAAAAGCCCGCGGGCCAACTATTGCGTCTGCTTCGAAGCTTACGTTTACGAAGCCAAGAAGCCACGCAAAAGGATCGGTTAAGACGATCCCTACTAAACCTGATGAGAACACTCAGAAGGATCTAACTCCAATTACGGAGAGAGGTGACAACCCGCTTAAGGGAAAGGATGAGAAGGAAAGCTCAGAGAGCCGATCCGAATCAGAATCAAACCAGCCATCGCACATAAGTAAGTTGATCGATGAGAACACTGAACTTAAGAATCAGTTAGCCGCTCTTAAGAAGCGAATGACCTCGCAGGAGAATGCGGTTGTTAAGAAACCGCGGGAGCAGACTGATCAAGGGTACGTATCCAGGCAGACCTCAAACGAGAGACCCCAACATACGCGTCCACGTGAATCTACTCAATTTACACGCCCTATTAATAGGGTGCGTGCGGAGCACAAGGGACCTGCATACAAGCAAGTTAAGAAATGTGCTGATGAGAAATGTGGTTATAACATGTACCAGTTAACACCTAACGGTTACTGGAACGGAAAGCATGCCCAATCTTGTAAATACTATCTTACAAAATGCGATAATTGTGAGAAGACCAATGGCTACCACACTAAATTGTGTAACGTCAGACCCGACATTAAGTTGGACTGACGGTACTACCGGGTACAATAGATACACAGACAGTACAACGACTCTTGAGATGAGCGTGTAATAATCCCTGTATACTGCAATGTAAATAGAATCCTTGCGTTGATTGATCCTGGTTCAGAAATTTCATGTCTATCCGATGGCTTTGCTATCGAAAGGAGAACACAAACAACTTACCTCATTTTAGCTGATGATAAAATTGCTAAGTGTGATACCATGGCCACAGATATTAAAATCTCCCTGGCCGATGATAGGAATATCACTACCCAAGCTGTGATAGTTAAGATGTCACAGAAGTACGACATTATAGTCAGAATGAGCGATTTACTCACTCTAGGTATAACCGTAACTGGTCTACCAAATAACATAGATCCATTAAAGGATCAATCAGACGATAACTGTCTGAATCCATATAAGCCCCCGTCAGACACAGTCAAGGCATTAATACCTGACTTTGCGAACAAAATCATGAATATGATTCTAGTTAATAAGAAGATAAAGATCACAGATTGGGCAAAATTCCGCTTTAACGGCGGATATGTCAGCCTTGACTTAACCAAGGTAGATTTTACACAGTTAAAGTGTCCCTCAAGGAGCTATGTATCCTGGAGACACGAGGCTGTGGTAAAAGAACAAGTTGAGAAATGGCTAGCAAATGGAGTGATAGAAATTAACTATCAACAGACGCCAGTTAACTTGGCGGTGCTAGCCGTACACCAACATAACTCTGACGGATCGTTTAAGAAAGTCAGAGTATGTTTAGATATGAATCCAATAGATAAATTACTGCCGACTCATAACTTTCACTTACCTCATATTAACGAGCTACTGCGAAGGATGGAAGGTGCTACAGTATTTACAACTATAGACCTTACACAAGGATACCATCAAATGCAGGTATATGAACCACATCTTAAATACTTTAGTTTTACGTGGAAAGGTAAACAATACAGGTTCAGAGGTGCACCTTTCGGGTTACACTCTTTACCAGCATTCTTCCAACAAGAAATGGACGAAATGTTTACAGACATGCCTAACGTGCAAGTCTACATAGATGACATAGTCATCTTTTCCAAACACGCCGCATTAGTCAGACGAGTCTTTAAGAGACTCAACGAGTAAAACTTCACGATGAACGAGAAGAAATGTCACTTCGCCATGAGCGAAATACAGCTCTTAGGCTACCGAATATCTGGAGAAGGTATTAAAATCGACCCCGGTAAGGTAGCACACTTGTTAGATTGGCGAACACCAACTACAGGAAAAGATGTTAACAGCTTGTGTGGGTCTGTAGACTTCTTTTCAGATGGAGTACCACACTTAACTGATTACCTTAAACCTTTTGGACACTTAAAATGTCATAAAGGCAAACTAGAAGACCTGTGGACTAAAGAGTGTGAGGACGCGTTTAAAGTGCTCAAACAAGTAGTCCAACAAGCCCCAGCTGTACAAGGACCAGTCGATGGCGTGCCGTTTGAAATATCAACGGACGCCTCCGACTCAGCCTTAGGAGGAGTATTATATCAGGTTATGGATGACAAACCTAGATATATACAATTCTTTAGTCGAGCAATAAATGCTTCACAGTTGAATTATTCAACTGTTAAACAAGAGCTATTAGCCATAGTGGCAGCTTTAACACACTTCCGAGATTACTTATACGGAACAGCATTTACGCTGATGTGTGATCAGAAATCTCTTCAATATATGAAAGAAATGCAACCCGACTCACAATTACTGAGTCGCTGGCATGATACAATATCAAAGTTTCATTTTGATATAAAACATCTGACAGCAATACATAACCATTTATCGGATATGTTATCACACTTTGTACCGGATTTTAATAAATCCGTACGTGAGTTATGTAGTAAGCCGGGCCTCCACATTAGACTCTATGTATAAACGTACTCTTAAGCAGTACGCAAATTATAAACGTACTCTTAATAGTACGAGGAACTTAAGTTTCCTAAATGTACTCTTAATAGTACGGGGAACTTAAGTCTCCTAAATGTGCTCTTAATAGCACGAGGTACTTAAGTTTCCTAAAATGGTTTTAATGGTTTTATTAATTAAACCTTTTCCATTTAACATATCAGATATTTAGATGAGGCCATTAAAAGGCCTCAGTAAAATACCAAACATAAACGAGATGGTCTAGTTCTATTAATAGAGCTTTATTTACTTTCCAATTTTATTTATATCTGAATACTTCGGTAGCGAGATGGCTCAACCGAATATAGGTTTCTAGGGACTATTAATGTTACCTAGTTGATCCTTGATAAGCCAACCAGATGTGCCAGTCTGATGAAGGTTAAGTCGGTAATTCTTGATAGTGGCAAGCTATTGGTTAAGACAATAACTAAAGACGTCAAGAGTATTTTTATTTTTATTTCTTTTTTCTCTAAAGATAGGATTTTATGAGTCTCTCGGATTCGCCCCAGAATAGAGCGACAACGAAACACTAAATAAAATCCCTTCGGCGGAAACAGTACTGAGAGGATTATATATAGGCAATGTCTCAGCCTCACAATCCCTCAGAGTATTACTGTTTTCACGAGGCAAGTATTAAACGTCTCATTTTGTTTATTTATATCGATGTTTACACGATATAGAATTTACCTACGCGTTTATTTATTCTAAGGCATTAGTATCGCCTTTATTAGACCGAATCTTATAGTTACTAGCCATTGACTGAAAGTGTATTTCCAGGTGGTTTGAACTGGCTCAAAAAATATCTGGGCCACATACCATAGATATGTTTGCTGCACATCATAATGCACAACTATCGAATCACAGGACTTTAAATCATCCTTTGCAAGATAAAAACCCTAATCCACCATGGCAGTTAATTGCCCAGCTATTAAATTATGTTCATATACATAAAGCTACCATCACGTTGTGATGCCCATTACGTGGTAAAGATCCATGGCTCAATAAATTGATAAGCAGCAGGCGCTTACGCCATTTTTGATTAATGGCTTTTAAATAGTCTTGATTACCGAAAGCGTTTGAAGCCAATTCAGCGATTGTACCGTCTATAAAACGTGTACGATAGTATGTCTCCCACCACTCCTCCTACTCCTCCTATCACTTCTCCTACTCCTCCTATCACTTCTCGTTACTTCCACTATTCCTTCTTGTGACGCTTGTGATGGTAGATGGTTTATAGTATAACCTGACGGATCTGAAGATGCTTCAGAATTCGAATTCAAAACTAAAGTATTTTGTGAGCTTTCGTTATTCGATGTAATAGTTGCATGACCACCTGATGGGATCAAAATATCTTCTTCTTGAAAGTAAACGGGTAATACTCCCTGCTTGGGTCTGTGTTTGCCTTTGCTACTATTTTTATCAGCTAGATCAAAGTGGGCACAGCAAACCAACATTGTGGTAACCACTTTTACGCGATCTTTCTAAACAGATCGCCATTCCGGCCGCATCGAGTAAAGCTCCACTTCTCGATTCTCGCTATTTGTGCAGTGAATATACTTTGTACCTCTCCTCATTTTACATTTGTAATGCAGCATGTTGCCCCCATCGTTGCACGTTCATCTCATTCAACAAACGGTGTGTTACACAGTTCACACACTTTATACTAGTAATTCTATTGAACCTACGGTTACCTGTTCTTCTGCTACATTTTCTATTTTTTTGTCCATCTGTTATCTCCCTGTTCATCTTTTCTATATTTTTGTATACAAATTTTGGCCTGAGGAGAACAATACAGTTTCTAAAAAAGATATATGCTATCACTAGGACGAGAAGAGGACGAGAAAGTGGCAAATTTAAAATCTAAAACTATAAATGTATATGTAGATATTCTACAATTCGTCAACAAATGCCAAAACTTATATACTCAGGAGGAGTAGAAGAAGATGTGGCGACAAATTTAATTTTGGAACTTCTCCAAAAAAGAAAAAAAGATGTGCTGCCACGAGGTGAAGGAGACTATGTGGGGCCAAATTTGCTGCCACGGGCGAGGAGGTGAATATCACAACAGCCTACATTCCCTACAAGAAGGTGATGAGAAAATCAAAGGACGAGGAGGAGGTGAGCCTCGAGAGGTGTCAAATTCTAAAGTTGCTCAACATTTTATATAAAACATATCTTCTTTCTATATTTATATACGATTACAATTGGCTAATTTTCAAAATACTATCTAATATTACTCCAAAAGTTTTTCCCAGCTCAAAAAGAATAAAAATAGTCACCGATGATCAAGATAAGGACCAACAGCATTACACTAATACAGGTTAGAAAATCGTGTTATATAGAAAATCGGGTTACAGTGGCTATCCCGATATAAAAAAGAACATGCTATCCTTACAGATATAATGTAATTAAATTAATGCCCGTAGCTAATTTGGCCACGCTGAACACGCTCGTGGTCTCAGATTTTCAATATGTCCAGTAGTTTAGCTAATCTCCGATTTTGCCGGACATTTGCCCGGTCGGTTGTTCACAGTGCGGGCTCGTCCAAAGGGATTTAGCATGTTATTGAAAGCTTAGCATAAAAAAAGATACTAATTTCAAAACAATAATTAAAAAAAAAATCAAAATTTAACTTTGGAGACCATACATTTGCTTACAAAAACAATACAAGGTGTTTACTGGCTAAAAATACGTCGCATTGTTTCAAAAAAAGAAAACTATCCGAAACTATATATTTTCAAAATAGCCCAATTGGGCTACATAGTATATTTCCAGCCCGATTAGTTTATACTCTAGCGAAAACCTAGCCGGAGTAAACCTTTTACTCCGTCAAATACCCCGAGTCCCCGAGTACCATTCGGCGTCCTACATTGGCCTTTTTTTAGTTTTTCCCTTAAAATAATCAAAATATTGGCTTCTCTTTCTTGTCCACACACAACTCCACATTCCACAATACCGTCAATACGGTAGTCGGACTACGGACAGTAAATAACCACAATTCGGAATTCTTCACATCATGATGTCGATATGTATAACCATTTTTTTTAAATGAAACCACAGAACAGGAGAAAATTGAACATTTTACTCAAAAACATGATCGCTGTTTTAGTCGCTGTTTAGTGTTTTTTTTTAAACTTTTAGTTTTTAGTTTTTACTCGACAGATTTCAAATTCCAATCCAACAGAGTAAAATATTTGTTTTTTAAAAAACAAATATTTGTATATAAATTAGAGGGCTATGAAATATTGAAATTTATAAATTCCATAGCCCTCTTGAATATTTTAGAAGGCTATGTAAGGTCTTTTTTTTAATAAAAACAAAATACATAAACGATTCGAGTGACGACGAGTCGTGATCAAAACCGTTGGTGTTGTGCATTTGACTATATACATAAACGTCTGTTACCAAATTCAAGCATATAAGTGATCAAAGGATGATAACAGCTTACCATCGTGGTTGACAGAGCTACAGTACTTTCAAATTAAACAATGAATATGGATGAGAGAATGTCAGATCAGATTACGGTCGTCTCTACCGGTGTGGTGATAATGAGACCAAACATGTCCACGACACAGAAATCGTCTTCAGAATTTTCTTCACCAAATGACCACGAGTCTACTTTGTGCAAAGGCAGTGCTAGCGCGATTGTGAAGGATATATCCTTCTGGGATGGAACACGCAATCGAACGCGGGCTGTGGTGAGGAGGAACGTTCTAGTCATGCTTTTTTTCTATCTGCCCCTCATCGGATTTTTTTGGGGTTCGTTCTATCTTTCCAAGTATTTGGCAGTCCCGCCACCTAAACCCTACATGCGATGGGTGCCGCGGAATAACGATAGTGCTATCTTTTTTTCAGTAGTCACAGGGTTTACCTTTCTGCTGTGTGGTGTCACTCTCATGACAATATATAAGCATAGAAAATCACCGGTCATACTAAGCAAACTGCCTTCTTTCATAGCTCATGTTAGCTTTTGCATATTGGTCATACCTCCCCTCACATATATCACGAACATGCTGACGGTTTATTACTTGCCAAGAAGCAATTATGTTCGCTTCCTACAAGCATTGGAGCTGATGATGGTCGGGCAAGTATGGGCGGCACTAAGTAATAGGATGGCGCTCATGTATTTTTTGTTGGCAGAAGGTATCTGTAATCCAAGCTACAAGATGTTCTTCGTCAAATCCATAATCATGTCACTTGTGTTCCAAGTGATACCTTACATCGTTGCTATGTCCGTCTCCTTCCCTAAATACACCGAAATTATCGGGTGGGCCGTCGTTTCATATGCATTGCTCACCTTGATCGAGATGAGTTGGTATACGGTGAAAATACGCGGGGGGTTTGTAAAGTTTTTCGTCGACTATGAAAATGTCGTGCGCATGATGGTTATGCAGGCAGTGATATTGGTGATATCCATGTGCATGGTTCGAATTGAAAGCAAGGGTCTTGCGTTTTATAGATTCACAACATCAATGGTACTCGTCTGGCAGCTAGTGTTCGAAATGTTTGGAGCTCTTGTATGGAATGAGATCACGGGTGCATTTGGATTCGATAATCTACGTGTCAGCGAGAAGACCTTAATCGGTCAGGCATATGATTTGATAGATCCGCGTGGGCGACTTGATCTGCTATTGCAAGACAAAGAACTTTATCCCATACTATTGGCTATCGCTGGCAGACGGCATATGGACGAAAACTTCAGATTCATGAAAGATGTTCGGCAGCTTAAGCGGATGGTGGGGACAGAAGCCAACTCGCTGACAGTCCGGGCTGGAGATAATTATGCTGGAAAAATTAGCAGACTAACATTGCAAGTAATAGATAACTATATCATGTCAGGAGCGGCTCACACAGTAAATTTGCCCTCGAGGATACTGAAGCCATTACGTGAAAAGAGGAAACCAAGGCCGTTGAATCATTGGTGGCTCTACACCAGGTGGAAGTCGATATTCACAAGCTCTTGTGGATGGCATATGCGGAGACAGCAATACTGGTACATCAGTCAAATGTGCTGGGCATGTTCTCGAAGAATCCGACTGTGTGCGACATACTGAAGTGCAGAGTAGACAAATTGACAGCTTTGTGCGGGACGGACGCAAGACTGGTGAAACCACCGAAAACAACTAATTTACTGCTCATAGAGGAGGGGTATTCCTCGAACAGTGTCCGCGACGAGGCCTAACAAGTTCAGACAGCATCGCTTGCGCCATTGGCGCGATGTTCTTCATTCAACAGATAAATGCAGCAAATACTTAGCATACACGAGATTAAAAACTACATCACGTCTGTTATTTCTACTGGACAGCTCAAGAAGACTCTACTATGCTTGGTTGTCAGCTTACTCTGATCTGGTTGCGCTACACATTCCATTGTTAATGAGTGCTGCACAAGATACACCGTTCCCCTTCCACTCTTATAAGAAGTGCATAGTGACCGTGTTTATTTCCATTTGATTTGATTTTTTTATTCAAAAATAAAAAGGGTGTTCTTTGCGTATGTAAGCTGGGCCCTCGACCTCTTTCATCATTGTTCGGCTTGCCGTACTTGTTGAATTTCGTCCCAGACCATTTCTGAACATTCGGAAGAAATATTCATGATTGAGAGGTTGAAGTAGTTGTTTCGCTACAATAGAATCATACACCTGCGACATACCGGTCTATTCTGTCTGGACTCAATATTAGTTAAATTCAACTGAACATTCACATGGAGTTTAATATGCATACGTACATTCTAGCACAGTCTACATAAAACTTGCAATATGTTCGTTACAACTTTTGGTTAGCGAAAACATGCGTATCAGATTGGTTCTTTTACGACAAATGACTGTATGCCCTCGGCTATTGATATGCAACGATACTAACACAGATGGCAGATACAGTGTGCAAACAGTAAAAGCATTCAAGAATGTCTATGACATACGCTTCCATTCCTCTATCGTGTAGTCTTTCTCCTCATATTTGCTGAAATCAAACTTCGATTGCAGGATGGGCTCGTTTCCAGGGTCGTGAAACCTTGCAACAAACGGATGCTCTAAAGCTTCCAGTACATTCATCCGACGCTTTCCATCGAAGACTAAACACCGCGACAAGAAATCGACGGCTGAATGTATAGAGATGGCGTAGAAAATATGTAGAGGTGCGGATAGTGTGAATATTTGTGCAGTGTAGGAAAGTGAATCTATATAAGGGAGAAAATGAATAGAGTAATACAGATGGTGTCGTGAGAGGTGTCAGAGTGTGCGTACGCACAAGATGGCGTAAGAAAGATAGGTGCTATAATGGCGACTTCGCATGACCGAAAACAAGTCCGCCTCCAACATATCAGTCAATATACACTGCAATAATCATCTGAGAGTTCAAATCTTGCAAACTGAGCAAAGTGCATGTGAAATTTCATGAGGTCATAGGAGTATCGTCTTTTTAGATATACTCTAACGTAACTCTCGTAGCAAATTCCTGATAAAGAAGCAAACAATATACTAGGTATACTAGCCATAGATGTTGGAAGGGCATAGTCTCGATATACCTTCAGGAGATGCGCCCGGGCAGATCTTATCAAAGCCCTTGGGAGGGTGTTTCGGCAAATCTCTGATGAATTGCTGTGCGTCTGAACTGCCTATGGATGCGATGGTGTCTTCGTCTGGGGTGCCCACCACCTGTTGGAAAATGAACAATATGCGGATATACAACTTAGTTAAAAATGTCAGCTAAAGTTCTGATTGACTAAACGGACTAACCGTGAGACATTGTTTGTACAACTGAATGAACAGTAAGAATTGTTGGTGAGGAGTATGGAGATAATTGGACATAATAAAACTAAGGTTGTGTGACTTATGGTGACAACCACTTGAATATAATAACATAGTATGAGATTCTTGACAATAAGAAAAAGCCCTCCGATTGCCCATCACGCATATCAGATCAATCGATGCGATGTATGTCTACAGGACTAGTTCAACCCGGTAACTATATACTCTTGAGCATTGTGGCAATGTGAGAACACGATATCATCATACAACTGGCAGCGAACAGCCAACATCCCAGTCCTAATAGGCTGGGTGAGAATTCGAGAAAAGGTACCACAATACATATTTCAAACGCACGCCAGATGGCAAGCCGCCCGTACACATGATTCAGTGGGTTCAGGGTTTACTACAAAGGATCACACGTACACAACTTTAGGACCGTCCATACACGAGTAATTCAAACATTTGCATACACTACTTTACGTCCCATCCATAGACGACAGCGTATATATATATATATATATACCGCAATACAATACCGTCACACACCTCGCAGATGGTGGTGATGTGTGTTACGTAGTCGTCTGCATTAAAGAGAGTCTTCTTATTGATAATCTCGGCCATAATACAGCCCACACTCCAAATATCGACTCCCTTGTCGTATCTCCTCCAGTTCAACATGATCTCAGGCGCACGATAGTGTCTGAGAAAAGAGTATATCAAGATAGCTCTACAATATGAGATAATATACATATATCAATCAAACACTCCGAGTACATGTGGATGTCACAGCTTGCATTCGAAGGACAAAGTAGGTTTGAGCTCCCACTGTAGGCGAATATACGCGATTCTACTAGCCCAATATCAGTCATATTGCTGACTGACCCGCATGTAAAACCTACTGACCTTTTCTTAGGATGTAGTACAGCTTTATGGATATATTCATTAGCGCCAGAACAAGTGTATGCACCGATAGCCCAAGCACCATTCTGCTCGTAAAACCATACAAATAATTATTATGCATGAATCATGGTGTATCATATTCTACCAGTTATTAACACCGAGCTTTAAAATCACACTGGCACATCTTGTGGAAACATTGCCAGAGACAAAGTATGCAGAAATTGACATCGACTTGTACCTTGTGGCTACGTAGCCAGTCATTTCTGGGTCAGATTGTCTGGCTAAGCCGAAGTCGAGGATCTTTACACCGCAGTCTTCGTTGACGGCGATGTTGCCTGCAAAATCGGAGAAGGTGAGTGTATACGGAATTGCCCTGAGAGCCCAAACAAAGTGGCGAGCGAAACAGTGGGAGGCGGGGGAGAGGGCAGAGAATGTAGAGGTGAAAATAGAAACATCGGCTCAGTGGACATTCACTATTCCCCTTGCCATGAAAACTGAATAATTAACAAATATGGACGAATATACAAGTGCGCTGTTGGTAGTCCGCTTTCGTTTTAATAAAAGTACACGCGAGTAATCGAGATGTGTTGTTGACCGTATCTCGCTTTACATCGCAGTGCACAAGATCAACTGATTGGCCTATTTCACACCCCGTTGGATAACGAGAAAGTCGTATAAGCAGTGCTACAACACGAGCTGTATATTGATCCGGAGACAGCATTATTACACAACTACACACGGATACCTAACGCTTATGGTGGATGCAACCTGGTACGATTTATGACGCACAAGATCGATAGATTGGTCGCAACTCACACCTTTTATGATAAAAGAGATTCCCTCAACATCAAGCCATACAGTTGTCACGCAAATTCTTAGGCATACATTTGACCATACCTGGTTTTAAGTCACGGTGCACAATATCGGCCGAGTGGACGTACTTCAGACCCCTTAATATTTGATATATAAAAAACTTGGTGTGCTCTTCCGTCAGATCTTGCGTGTAGATGACTCGCCGCAGATCAGCGTCCAACAGTTCCATTACGAGATATCTATTTATAAATCGTGTACGTGGAGTTGACAGTGACTATTTCATAAGAACAACGAGTACATCGAAACTACCCCAGCCATTGATGTGTGCAATTGTACTTCAAAAAGGATGTATTGTCGCGAGAAGGAAGCTTTCATATAGTGAACGGAAGTGTTGTAGTTATTGCGAATGAGAAACCTATGCTCAGCAAGATTGTAATTTCATAAAATATTCAGCTCATAGACGCTACGATACTATATTTAACTGAATGTCGCGAAACACGATTGACTTTCGACCGACGGAATATAAGATAAGTGAAAAGTCAATTATATAAATATAAATATATGCATATCGCCTCCGCATATCGCCATCGATTGTTTTTTTTTGCGACCGACACAGATATATTGTATCGAATAACGGAGCAAAGATTTCAACGAGAAAAGCATTTATGAGGGAATAGAATCCCAAAATGTTCGCGCTTAGGCCATGAGCATGGTTTTCACTTAGCTATTGATTTAGCGAACAACCCATGCCAAGTAATATGCCTAACGACATTGCATACTTGTATGGAATCAATGTGTTGGTGACGGAGACAGTGCTAAGTGTGTGATCATGCTTGGTATGTCACACACATATTTAACAATGCAATCGTTACCCTAAAACTGCCAAGATTATCATGGATCGGAATAGTGTAAAAACTTACATGTCGTCAAATTCCTCCCGTCCATACGGTGAGAAGACAGTCTTGAGCGAAATGATCTGTGATGCAAGAAAATGAGAAATGAGAATTCTGCGTAGAGAAAATTTTCAATGAAAGTCTCGAAACGGAACTCATTGTTAAAGATAAAAAGTGGGGCAGGGAAAAAGACAGCCCGAAGCGCCTATGTGAGAAATAAAGTCAGCTCGACTCTTTCAAATAATTACTGTGAACACTGGAGCACACATGGCATATCGCAACCACGCGTAGGTATAATATACTTGCAGGAGACTACGAGTATTTATACACAGGCTATGTCCCACATTTTCATGTTTCAGCTGACTGAGTAGCTGGACCTCTCTACATGTACGTTTGCCATGGACGGCAGTTTCGAACCCTTTGAGAATTTTCTTGATCGCCACCTTCTCGCCTGTCAGCGCGTCTGTGGCAGAACTGCAAAACACACGAAAGTGAAAATCAATTCGTATGGTCTACTGGTCTGAATGTATCATACTGGTCCGCCACTGATAAATTGCAAACCTACGTAGGTATTGCTGCATACATATGTGCCTATATGAGGGTATGATGTGTAAACTCATACATGTTTAAACCCATATTTACATACGTTCATACATGGCTTAATTCGGTTTTACATACACAAGTGTTTCAAAACAACCATGAACGCATTCCACAAAAATAGTGTACAAGCAGGTTAGTATATATCAACAGAAACGCCACAATAGACTCGCATGAAATATGTTACACATGATAAATTGATATAAAAATAATACTTTGTAGATAAACAGAAGATTTGCATAAAACTAAATGTATTTTTTTGTTGCAGATTTGGAAGGGTGAATATATAACAAGAAAGTATTCATGTATATATACATACATACATACACACACATATATATATATATATAGAAATATACATGTATATACACATATATACATATACA